GTGCTGCCTCGGCACACTCCTTTCCTCTGGGCTAAAAGCTCAGCTAACAATAACTTAACAACAAGTTAAAGATGGATTGTGGATAAGAGTCGACAGATTTGACGCCAAGTGGGACCGCTTCATCGAACAGCTCCACACCGGTCGCTGAGTGGATCAGAACCGAGTCGATGATGTCGGACTTTACTCCGTGACAATCAGTAGCTGATTTACAGCAGGTAAATCAAATGTTCTTAATAATGTTAGTTTGTGTTTACTTCGATCACACAACAACTGTTGGATTTCATATTTTTATACCTTTTTATATTTCTTATCAAGCATTCAAATGTCATGTTATACAAAGTGTGTGCGTGTCTTTCTTCAAGGGTTGAACTATATTTATAGAAAATGTTTACTAATTCTAACTATTTTACCTTTACATATAATCTCATATTAGCTAAAGATAATTTTACAAGTTCACATTTGATATATTACAAGCTATCAAACAAGCCAGGAGACAGGTAAGATACTGACTAACTCAGGAGGGAAGAGTCCTTCTTTGTTCTCTGAGCACATGGTGGCATGGCCGCTCACACACACACACTGATTAACATAAATAAAAGCTAGAACACAATTCTTTAATTTAGACTTAATACAGTTTGACTAAGTAAATCCCTCAGGTTCGCTCTTAATAATAATCCATGATTAGATGCTCCACAACAGAGTGTTAACAGTCTAAACGCAGACAAGGAAACAAAGCGTCCTATTATGTATCTGCCTTAAAGCAGAGAATCACCAGGTTCTGGGGGCCTTCAACAGACTTACTGATTAACACATAAACATGAGGTAGGTAATAATTAATAGTTATTAATTATTCCTATAAACAATTTTGACACGAATCATTTTGTATCCCTAAGGTATAATAGCAAGTTAACTTTAAACAAAGAACCGATTTCAGTGAGCCATAAAACTTCTTATCTGTGGAATGTAGACATTAACGTCCTTGATGGGGCGGGCTAGACCCGTAACCATAGCAACCCCAGAACCAATCAGAAAGCTAGCCTTCTCAAACTTTGATAAAAGCCAGAAATAACACACGCCCAGCGAGCATTTCCGGGAGAGCACAGACCGAGAGGGTTCGTTCTTTTAATGCTCCAATATATGCATATATTTTACAAATGTTCATGTTTGTCTCTGAATATCTGTAACTCCTGTTTGTCAAATAAATCTTTTATACCGAGGGCGAGGTCTCAGCTGTCTTGAACACGACGTGACTACCACAACACAACCAACTGAGTTTTTATTTTTCCTGAAAGAAGAAGAAGCTGTCTTCCACCAGGCGGACCGGTTCTGAACGAGGCTCGGCCCAGGTGCAGTGCAGGAGGACGTCGAAGAGAGAGATGCTGGATTAACTATTTATTTAAAATTCCCCTCATTTCTTTTATTCAATACATTGAATGTTTTAAGCTGCATTAATCAAAGGAGTGACTTCCTGAATGAGCCAGATGAACAACGTGGGACTTCCATACCGGATGAAAACAAAGAGTCCAGTTCATTAACGTAGTTTACAGTTAACTTGTTTTTAATAGTGTGTTCAGTTTAATTATCAGTGTTTATGTGACATACAGTTTGTGGTGTTGAATACATAAATAAAAATTAAACCTGATGTCTTCATTTTCAACTTTAATAACATGCAATATGTTTCACATCATTTTAATCACATAAATTGAATTACATAATGTCCAGATAGCTTCATTTAGCTCAGAGCTTCATTATATCTCTCAAACTTAAGATAAATACAGTTTATTATTATTAAACTTATTATTTAGCACATTTAAGTATGATATAGTGCAGCACGATGTGTGCGAGTGCCTCGTTCTATAAACAGAGACATTAGAACTGGATCCAACTCTTCTTCCAACACAGATGTCGGTCACAGCACCTGGATTCTGACGTAGATTAACTACGAGATTAAAAATATATTCCATCAGTCGTAGTTCAGAAAGCACTGCCATGTTGATAGAAATAAGCCGTCTGTCCGCGTGTGCATGTGGTTTAACACAAAGCCTCAGCGGGAGATGTTTATATTATCAGCGGGGGGTCAGTGAAAAACCTCAAGTCTGGAAGGTGGGTTCAGTAACCTCTGGATTCAAAGAGGGGGGGCAGTGGTATCGTGTAAATGATCAGCAGAACCGCAGAGAGAAAGGAGCGGATTCACTCAAAATATACGCCGTGTAAACAGCCCCTTAAAGTTGCATTATATGTTTTTGAAAGTGGAAATCTGAGGCCTCCTCCTCTGTTAAGAGATGGTTTTTCTCTTTTTCCATAATTTGCTTCCTTCACCCCCCTCTCAAACCATCTGTGTTCTCGGTCCAAAATGTGCACATTTTGATCCTCAAAAGAGTGTCCCTTATCTGTGAGGTGGAGGTGAACAGCTGAATCTTGTCCTGAAGAGCTGGCTCTCCTGTGTTGAGCCATGTGTCTGTGAAGAGGCTGTTTAGTTTCTCCAATGTAGAGTTCTGGACAGTCCTCGCTGCACTGGACACACTACACCACTCTGTTTGTGTATGGGTGTTTTGTCCTTAGGGTGGACCAGTCTCTGTCTGAGAGTCCTGCTGGGTTTGAAATGTACTGGGATGGTGTATGCTGGTGAAGATTCTCAGTCATCCAGGACGTGATGAATTCAAAAAGCGTTCAATACAAAAACAACTGGACTTTATTTATAACAGAAGACGTTGCGCTCCTCATCCGAGGAGCTTTCTCAATTCAAAGAGCAGAGAGTGAGAGATTCAGGTTATAAGGCTGAGTGAGATAAGACACACACACACATATGTTACATATGTGTGTGTGTGTCTTACCAGCTGCTTTTGGCCGTACCTAAAACCAGGATGAAGCTCAGAGGAGATCGAGCATTTTCAGTCGTGGGCCCTAAACTTTGGAACAATCTGCCCATCAACATTCGACAGGCCACCTCAGTCTCTGCTTTTAAAACTCTCCTAAAAACACACCTATACTCACTGACATTTAACACAGGTGATCGGATTTAGATCTAGTTTTTCATTAATGCTGATTCTGTTTATGCTTTTTGTTATTATTCCTATTTAACACAAGGTCATCAGATCTGATTTAGTATTTCATTGTTTCTGACTGAGTTTATGCTTTTTGTTATTATTTCCTTGACTTTTGACACAATGTGAACTGATTTAATATTTCATTGTTTCTAATTGTTTTTGGTTTTATATTTTTATTCCATGTGCTGTAAATATATCTTGCTACTTTTTATTTGAAGTTGTGATACTTTTGTTAAGCACTTTGGTAACAGTTTCTGTTTTAAATGTGCCCTATAAATAAATCTGACTTGACTTGACATATCGGAACAAATAGCTTGGCGTTGTTCCCTCATAGGAGTTTAGGGCTCTCTGTTCCACTTCTTCTATGTAGAGATTGGCAACAATGGGTGACACTGGAGATCCCATGTCACAGTCGTGCTTCTGTCTGTAGAAACTGTCATTGAACTTAAAATAAGTGGTAGAGAGGCAGAGATCCAACAGGGTGCAAATCTGGTCAGGGGTGAAGTTGGTCCTGTTGATTAAGTCATTGTTTTGTAGAAGACGTTTTCTGACGGTTTCTACTGCTTCAGAGATCAGAGTCAGAGTCAGAGTTTCTTTATTGTCATTCGCACCTCATGTGGTACATGTGGTGGAGCGAAATTATGTACACAGGGTCCCAGTTACATCCAACAATTAAATGTAAAAGAAAAACAGTAATGACATCTAAGATATGAACTATGAAAAACATCAACTAAATATACACTGAGCACTCATAACATAAAAACATTACGTCGAACATCAGCACAAACATGAACATGAGTCTGTGTGAGCAGATGAGCACACATGAACACATCAACATTGAAATTCATCAGTCTGAGGAGTTTCAGTAAACTGTTTCCCCACCAAGCAGTAAACTCCTTAAGTGGGCCAACCAGTTTGCTGGAACTAAGATGGTTTCTGGGAGCTGTCCTGTCCCTGTCGACTCCTCCCAGGCAGGCAGCCACATCCAAAGTGGTTCAAGGCAACAAAGTTCATGCTCAAACATCCAGCAGCAACCAAGCAGTACAGAAAACAAAACTACAAAACTACAAAAGAAGAAAGGCATTACAGGCCTGAGGCCATAACAATTGAATCATGAAACAAACATTTACAGGTGGTTGTTAAAAGAAGAGGGGATGCTGCACAGCAGGAAACATGGCTACTGAACCATTTTAAAGAGATGTGTTGCTGCCATCAAATTCAGCCATTTCCATGATTTTTATTTAATATTACATTTTACTAGATTAAACATTTTATTATTTTTTTCCTCTGACAATAAATTGTGAGTGATGAGATTTAGAAATGGTTGTCTTTAGATTGTACTAACATTTCATTACATTTGAGTAGTGACTGTCGGACTCTGACCTGGTTATGAGACAGAGGAGAGCTGAAGTGGTGAGTGTGGAGGTTCCGGCCCGTCTTCATGTGCGTGATGCGAACACCCTGACCACACCTGACGGCGGAGCCACGCTGACACATTCGGTCGGGTCTTCCTCGAATCTGCCAGTAGCTGTTGGCATCATCTGCACTCTCCACTCCAGTTACAGACTGTTGACCACTGCCTGCACACACACACACAACACACACAAACACAAATCATGAGATAGAGTAAGAGTCCACCGTGTGTTGGATCAGAACCAGCCAGTCAGAATGACTTAAAGCAAACATGATGAAGAGCGACTTTCAGAATGAACATACTCTGAAGGTGAAACAGAAATAAGATTTTTGTCTGAGTGTGTTTTAGGTTGTTTTCACACCAGATAGTCCGGTAGACTCGGTTCGGGACCAATATTCATGAGCTTTTGTTTACATTTGAGCTGGTGCAACCTGTTGAACCAACCTATTCCCCCGCTCGCCTGTGGGGGCGCTGCACCAAGAACTACTGAAAGAAACGACACAAAAACCTCTGAAGACACGTCTTCTTCTTCTTCTGTAAATAAAAATAAAAACGAAGTGGCATCAAGTTTTAGCAGTTTTAGGAGTTATATTTTGTCATTTTTCAAAAGTTGACTTATCATGAGCAGAAGATGAGACAGAAGACCGTGGAGAATATTGTTTTTCCACACAAGGCAGCTGACGGCTCCATATAAGGTCAGAGAAATGCGTGTTTGTTGACCCTGCGGAGCGGGGCCCAGTCTGTTTACATTCACACTGTACTCGAACCGCGCTGGAGTTCGCTTCTACCGGACCGAGACCTAGGTTTTAGCCCGGGCCAGAGTTCGCCTTTTTGTTCCGTGACAGAGTTCGATGGCGTGTTCACACCTCCCTAAACGAGCCGGACTTTCTAGGAAAACAAGCTAGAGTTCGATTAAAGCGGACTAAACAGGGCTGGTGTGAATGCACCCTTAGGTCGTTTTCACACCAGATAGTCCGGTAGACTCGGTTCGGGACCAATATTCATGACCTTTTGTTCACATTTGAGCTGGTGAGTTTGCATTCACACTGCACTGTGCAGTCGAGTCAACCTGTTGAACCAACCTATTCCCACGCTCGCCTGTGGGGGCACTGCACCAAGAACTACTGAAAGAAACGACACAAAAACCTCTAAAGACACGTCTTCTTCTTCTTCTGTAAATAAAAATAAAAACAAAGTGGCATCAAGTTTTAGCAGTTTTAGGAGTTATATTTTGTCATTTTTCAAAAATGGACTTAGCATGAGCAGAAGATGAGACCAAAGACCATGGAGAATATTGTTTTTCCACACAAGGCAGCTGACGGCTCCATATAAGGTCAGAGAAATGCGTGTTTGTTTACCCTGCGGAGTGTGTCCGGTCTGTTTACATTCACACTGTACTCGAACCGCGCTGGAGTTCGCTTCTATCGGACCGAGACCTAGGTTTTAGCCCGGGCCAGAGTTCGCCTTTTTGTTCCGTGGCAGAGTTCGATGGCGTGTTCACACCTCCCTAAACGAGCCGGACTTTCTAGGAAAACGAGCTAAAGTTCGATTAAAGCGGACTAAACAGGGCTAGTGTGAACACACCCTTAGTTCGCCTGACATGTTAGCAAAGAACTCTCATAAACCACTGAACAAACTTAAAGGAAACTAGAAAATTTGCATTTTATAAAAAAAAAAATGCAGTGTGAATGCTTATTCCTTAAGAACTTGGTGAAAAACAGCTGAAATTAGCTAAAATAAGTCAGAGTCAGAGATTCTTTATTGTCATTCGCACCTCATGTGGTACATGTGGTGGAGCGAAATTATGTTCACAGGGTCCCAGTTACATCCAACAATAAAATGTAAAAGAAAAACGGTAATAACATCTAAGATATGAACTAAGAAAAACATCAACTAAATATACACTGAGCACTCATAACATAAAAACATTACGTCGAACATCAGCACAAACATGAACATGAGTCTGTGTGAGTAGATGTGCACGCATGAACATATCAACATTGAAATAGATCAGCAGCAACATGAAACAGATCAGCAGCAACACAATGCGATTTTTCACAGTGATTATTCTGGTTAGAGATTCATGAGTCTAACAGCCTCAGGGTAGAAGCTGTTCCTCAGTCTAGTGGTTCTACAATTAATGCTCCTCAACCTCCTTCCTGAGGGGAGTGGGGCAAAAAGTGTGTGTGCTGGGTGAGTGGGGCCCTTCATGATGCAGGTGGCCCTCTTCCTGCATCTAGAGGTGTAAATGTCTGTGATGGTGGGGAGGCTGACTCCAACAGTCTTCTGTGCAGCGTTCACCACTCTCTGCAAAGCTTTTCTTTCTGCAGCTGTGCAGCCTCCATGCCACACGTTGATGCTGGAGCACAGGATGCTCTCCACTGCACACCTGTAGAAGGAGGTGAGGACTGAGCTTCCCAGACCAGCTCGTCTCAGCCGCCTGTGGAAGTAGTCTCTGATGAGCTTTCTTGATCAGGCTGGTGGTGTTGTTGCCCCAACTGAGGTTGTCACTCATGTGTACACCCAAGTACTTGTAGCTGGAGACCACTTCCACTGCAGATCCTCTTATGTTCAGGGGGATGTAAGTGTTTTTGTTCCTTCTGAAGTCCACAATCATCTCCTTTGTCTTCTTCACATTGATGTGAAGGTTATTCTCTTTGCACCAGCTCTCCAGGTGTTCTATCTCTTGCCTGTAGCTGGACTCATCATTGTTTGTGATGCATCCCACCACCGCTGTGTCATCTGCAAACTTTACAATGTGACAGCCTGGATGGGTAGCTGCATAATCATACTTAAGCAGAGTAAACAGGAGGGGGCTCAACACACATCCCTGAGGAGAGCCAGTGCTGAGGGTTATGGTGGAGGAGGAGAAGTTGTGGATCCTCACTAACTGTGGTCTGTTTGTTAAGAAGTCTAGTACCCAGTTGCAAATGGAGGGGCTTAGTCCTAGTGTGAATAGTTTGTCCATCAGGGTTTTGGGGATCATGGTGTTGAAGGCGGATGTGAAGTCCACAAAGAGCATATGGACACAAGAGTTTTTCTGCTCCAGGTGGTTGAACGCAGTGTGGACCACAGAGGAGATGGCATCCTCTGTTGATCGGTTCTCACGGTTTGCATACTGATTAGGGTCTTCGTTGATGTTGATGGTGGTTTTGATGTGAGTCATGACCAGTTTTTCAAAGCATTTAGTGACTATTGGGGTGAGGGCCACTGGCCTATAGTCATTCAGACCAGTCACTGTAGAGCTTTTTGGGACTGGGATGATGGTGGCAGTCTTCAGGCAAGTGGGAACTGTCTCCATGGTAAGTGAGGTGTTGAAGATGTCTGCCAGCGCCTCGCAGAGCTGATCGACACATTCTTTCAACACTTTTCCGGGGATGTTGTCTGGGCCGGTTGCTTTGTGCGGATTAGTCCTCCTGAAAGTACTCCTTACTTTGGCTGAGGTCACGCTGAGATGCTCTTCATCCAGTGGTGAAGTGAGTCTGGTGCTGGGTGGTCTGTTCGGGTCTTCAAAGCGTGCATAGAACTTGTTGAGGGCATCAGGCAGAGATGGGTCTTTGGGGCATTGTTCACTCCTTCCTTTATAATCTGTTATGCACTTAATGCCCCTCCACATGCTCCGAGGGTCTTGTGAGATGAAATGACCCTCAATCCTCTGTGCATATGTTGGCCTCCTTAACACCAGCAACCAGCTCTTTCCTTGTCCTACTCATCTCCTCTGAGTTTCCAGACCTGAAGGCAGTGTTCCTGGCTGCCAGCAGGGTACGCACCTCTGCATTCAGCCAAGGTTTTCTGTTCGGGTAGCTTTTAGCATATCTGATGGTGGAGACGGTGTCAGTACATGTACTAATGTAACCCAGAACGGAGGATGTGTATTGGTCCAGATCAAGCGATCCTCCATTTTCAGCAGCTTCTCTGAAAACCTGCCAGTCTGTTTGATCCAAACAATCTCTCAGTATGGGGTCACTGTCCTGGATCCAACATTTAACTTTCTTTTGTACCGGTCTGTAGCGTCTCAGCGGGGGCATGTAAGCCGGAGCCAGGAAGATTGAGATGTGGTCTGACAGTCCTAGGTGGGGGCGGGGTTCAGCTTTGTATGCATCTTTTACGTTCGTGTAAACACGGTCCAGCGTGTTGTTCCCATGTGTTGGAATTGCAACATGTTGATAACATGCTGAAATGTAATTGAAATAGAAGAACAAGCCTAAATTAGCAGAAGAAAGCAGCAAGAACAAATATTTGCTGAATTGTTGTTTTCAACCAGTTTGACATGACTGTCAACAAGGAAGAGGGCTGGCAATGGAGGAGGGGGTGTGACAAAGAGACTATCTTAGCACCAAAATAACTGGTTTGTTCCACTTTGGCGTAAGCTGTTGGGGGAAGAATCAGTATTGTTTTGTGTGTTTCCTTGACTGATGAAGCCTTCCGGATAGAAGGTGAAATGTTTCAAGAAACTGTCCAGATGACATGACTGAAAAATGTTCGGATTGTATACCTGGATTATTGAGCACTGACTATGTTGTTTGCCCAATTAGGTTTAACTTAGCAGAAATTAGTACAACAATTAGGAAATTACCAGTAGTTAAAAAAAATGCTGAAATTAGCAACAAAAATAGCTGAAAAGTAGCTGAAAAGGCAGAAAGAAGCTTACGTTTCAAAAAAGAAGTGGAAAGAGCAGAAATTAGCTCAAACCATGTGGAATTAGCTGAAAAAGCTAAAATATAGCATAAAACCGCTAAATAGTAGCTGAAATACACAAAATTCGCAGAAAAGAGCTGAAAGGGGCATAACAAGCTGAAAATACTGGTAGTAGAAAGAAATTAGTTAGTCTGAAAGTAGCAGAAATTACGACAGGAAAAACAACTTCTCTGAAAACAACTGAAATTAGCAAAAATGCTAAAAAGGTAGAACAAGCTTCAATTAGCAGAAGCAGAAAGAACACGTTTATCCAATAAAAAAGCAAATATTAACTGACCGCCCCCCAGAAATTAACAAATAAAAGCTGAAAAGTAAGTAAAAAGGCATAAGGAAGCTGAAGTGACAAGGAGAGCACATGTTGATGAATTTGGCTGAAAAAAGTTGAAATTAGTGCAAAAAACGTGTAATTAGCTGAAAATGTTTAAATTTGCATAAAACAGCTAAATAGTAGAAAAAGCTGAAATTTGC